GACGGCGTTATTGCTGCGACGCAGTAGCAGCACCATTAAGCTTTTCGCCTCTGCTTTTCTTCCGTGAACGGCTGAAATGGTGCAGCGATCTGAACTTTTTTGCATCGGCGGGCATAGTAAGACGCACGAGCACGTTAGGGCAATACCTCCTACAGTCGAAACCCGCAATAACGAAACCCCGTGAGTACGAAATCTCCGCTGCAACGAAATATTTCCGGATCTTCGGCGATCGTTCATAGAAGCCCATGTATTATGTATCTCGCGGCAACGAAATGTTCTTGGACAGCGATCTCGCATTAACGAATTTTTTACCACAGTGCGGGCCTTATGTTACCCTCCCGCCAAAGGTCAACTGTCGAAAATATGTTTGTATGCGTGTTATGCGCACTCAAAATTTGTAAACGTCTGCTTTTGCCGCACTAGCGTGGGTACCGCCATTTTCGTTTACTTAAGGGGAGACGGCTTCGGGATCGCGAAAACCGCGTAGAAGTGCTTCAAAAAATTCATTTCACCCACCTAGGTAGCGAAACTTTTTCTGGAAATCGGGAGAAAACAGCGATTTTCAAAAAAATATGGCTTCGCGATGGCGGGGCCGGGAGCCAGCTTCTTGGGCTAATCGGAAAGAGCATTTCTCCGTGTTTTACGCTCCCGCCTCAGCTGGCTCCTCCCTTTAAAAACAAGCGCACAAAAACCAAATGTTTAATGGTCGTTTCAAGGCCCTTGATTGGCTGTGGCCGCCATGTTTCGTCAGCTCGCCTCGCCATTGGCCCGATGCTCGTTCCGGGCGATCGTTGTCTGCTGCTTGTGTGTCGCGAGGACATGATTCTCGAAAACTGCTACTTCGTGACGTGTTCACGGCTCAATGATCACTTAAGATATAATTAGGCTTTAGTTAGGAGCAGTAGGCGGATGCGCGATCAGGTTACTACGAGCGCGGCGCGTCATTGGAGTCGTCTTTAGCTCTCACTCTGCCGAAAGCGAGACTGCGGGCAGAAACGACGCGCTAGCGCACTTGTGGCGACGTGCTCGTCGCAAGCAACGAAGCTGTAAGCATCGGCACGGTCAAATTACTACGAGTGGCCACACTGGATGCACGAGCGGGCGCGCGGTCTACAAGCGCGGCGCGTCATCGTAGTCGGCTATAGCCCTAACTCCGCTGAGAGCGAGACCGCGGGCAGGAATGATGCGCTAGCGCATCCACAACAATCTGCGGGTTTTTTTGGATGCGCTGGACACCCTTCGCTCCTTTTTCGGCGCACATGACGATGACATAGCAATATACCACTTTTTCCAGTGCGGAGGGAGAGCTTTGAAGTTGTTGCATGGCAAGAGTCGGCAAAGTAAGTTGACCGACTTTTGTCAATAAATTTTCGTTCTGCTGGCCGTATCGCTGTTTTTATGTCTCATACTCGCGGCAACGAAATTCTCGCGAAAACGAAATTTTTTAGTTTCCCCGGCGATTTCGTTATTTCGTGTTTCGACTGTGTTTGGTTAAAGCTATGGCACCTTCACAAGGGCAATACCTCTTCAAAATGGTGGTAGAAACTGCCAGCAAGTTTTCCTGGCCACTTGGGAAGCACCGTTTCGGTCACGTGCGTCAAACAACCAATGAAATCACATGCTGCGCGTGGTTTTGTCTTCGCTTTTTTTGCTTCCACGAGGGGTACATACAGTCGAACCTCAATATATGGAACGGCACGGCGATAGCGAAATAGTTCGATATATCCAGAAGTCGATATAAAAAAATCACGAAAAAAATGCGTCAACAGCTTGCTGAAAACAACCAACGAACCGTTCAAGCGTGGTGCAGTAAATACTCACTTGAAAATTCAAACATAGTATTTATTGTGTTGGTTTAAGGGGGGACATGGGTCTTTAAAATTTTTTTTCTGTTTTTGGCTCAATCTTGACCAAACCTCACCACCTTGGACAGTTTTTCATGCTGATTTCAAATATGTAATTGTTTCTGAAATAGCTTCAGTGGATAAAAAGATATTAACATCTGTAATTTAATTAATTATGCACTTCATTGGGGGCTTTTTGGCAACTTAATCAAGCCAGATCCAAAAAATAAATGCATAGCCCCAATGCTGAGGGCTTTCTGTATGGGGTGATCCTATTTTTATTAATTTTTAGGCATTATATAGATAAGAAAACAGACCAGCACTTACAATGGATATTCTGTTCAATTTTCGCTCATTACTATCCATAATTGTAATTAACAGTATGCTTCTAGAGTAATCAAAATAGCATCACCCCATAGGTAATGTTATTACAAATAAAATGATACCAAGTTTGTCATTCTCAATCAACAGTAACATATAAGAAAAACCCCTAAGGTTTAGTGTGGTGCACAAAAACATCGAACTGAGAAAAACGCATTTAAAGTTTCTAATAACTGTAACTTTTGCTAAAGTGAAGCTAGAGCAATAAAAATGGCACCGTTGTATAGCTCTACATTATGTGAGTATGGCTGTACCAAATGTGTCAATGCACCTTCCCAAAATATTTGCCACAGCTCATTTAAAAACTGTGTACTGGCCGTTGAATCAGTATAAGGAACCCAGTCTACAACTTTGTGGCTGTTCTAGTGCACTGAAACCCAAAGGAAGACACATGTTATATATAAAAACATCGCCCTTTTATACATAAAACACTATTTCAAGTAAAACACACATTTTTGTCCCAGACATCCTTACAATTCTACAGCATGCCAGGGCTGTATGCAGTGTCTCTTGCAGGCTTATGTCGCTTTGCAAGTGTTGCCTTTGTTGAACTGCTCTGCAGGTGCTCCCTCCGCGATTTGTGAAGCCTGGTTTTATCCTTTTCAAGGCTACGAGCACTCGGCGAACTCGTCCGCAGAGTAAAACGTCGTGTCGACACGACCTTGAATGGTTCCAGTAGTGCCGGATGACGATCCGCTGACGTGATGATCCGACGAAGTGCTGCAGCTGGGCCGAATAGAGTGCACCGCTTCGGCAGGCATTCGCGCCAGCGAATCGTCGTCTGAATGTGCTGCCTCGGCAATAACAGGCACTTGCGCCAGCGAGTCGTCGTCTGAATGTGCTGCCTCCGCAATAACAGGCATTTCCGACAGCCCGTTGTCGTCAGAATGCGCTGCCTCGGCCATCTCCGGCGTTCTCGGCGGCGCGCAGGCCGCTCCCTTCTACCGCGCATTCCACGCTCGCTTTCGTTTCCTGCCGAAAGCTTGACGAGTGTTCTTCTTCAGGCGAGCTTCCCAAGCCATGCCGGCAAAATGCAGAAAGACGTATACGTCGGCGACGTCGGTACACGAGCGGGTAGCAGACGAGATAACACGCACGAGAGCAGGCGCCGACGGAGCAAAACCAAACAAAAAAAAAGAGCGAGCAACCGTGGCCGCGCCGCCGCGCCAGCCAATGGTAAGCGCGAGACGGGGGGGCTCGCCGGCGCGCGCGCGCTCTAGCCAATCAGCGGTCCGGCAGACGGCTTCGCAAAACGGGGGAGGGCAGTCGTTGTGTTGGAGCTACGCCATTTTGAGAGCCCGCAAAACGCGCACAAAGGAACCAGTTTCAAAACAAGCCCAAGATGGCGCCGATCCGCCGGCTGCTTCGCTGGCGGCGCGCGCGGGAAGTTCGAACAAATTTTCTGTTTTGCGGGTTGTTTTGCGACTCCCGTGATGGTTTGAAAATAGATTTTAACCTATTTTTTTATCGAATTTAGCGTTAATAATTTGAGGAGAGGTGCTTATAGGTTCAAAGATTCGAAAAATGCGTTTTTCTCAAAATCGATTTTTTGGCCATTTTTTACTTTTCTAAGACCCGCGTCCCCCCTTAAGATATTGAAAAAGAGTAGCCTGCTTTTTGTTGGCCATGGCGTGTTTGACGACTGCGTCCTCAATATAGTCCAGGCGATCCATAAGTGATAGGCCGGTGCCTTCAATCGCGCCGCCGTGGTGGCGCACAAGGCCCAAGGCAGCTACGACCTCAGCTGATGTCAAGAGCGGGACACCATGAGCGCTTGCGGGATCCACCTCGGCAGAGTCTTCATTTGGCTGCTCAGCAGTAGCTTCGGCGAGAATCTCCACATCCGTGAGCTCCGCCGTTGCGAGCTTCGCCGTTCGGAGTTAGGCCTGTCGCGCACCACAGCGCGCGACAGGCCCAACTCTGAACAGTGCGTGACAGGCCTAACTCCGAGCGCACGAACACTGCGAGCACAACGACCGATGCCTGCCGATGCTACGAGGGAGGAGCTTGCAACAAGTGTGCAGTGTGCCGTTGACACCATAGAGACTGCAACGACTGCAAGCTGCAAGGCTGTGGCGTGAGTCCGGGTGTAAAGCGCGCACATGGCGCGCCCATGCCGGCTCGCCCACACCTTTCCTTCCTCCGTGGGCTCGCCTGACTGCTTTCCCTTTCCCGGCGGCAGCGCAAGCCGCGTCCGAGACAGTCGTCTGTGTCCTCCCACTCCCCCTTCCCTCGCGCGAAGCCGTGCTTTTCTCTTCACTTTCCTCATTCCAGAACCTCTACAGCAAGGCTGCGGCGCGCGTACCCCGCTACGTTAAAGTGGCGCTCTCGGCGCCGTCGATTTGTGCAGCATTCGTAAACGCCCGCCGCTTTACCGCTACTTTCGAGAGTTGCGGGAAAGCTCGCCGCCTGTCAATGGAGCGCGGGCGGTTTGGGGTGGCTGAGTTCGATATATCCATTATATGTCAAACTTTGTTCGAAATAAAAAATCAATAATGCATGCGATTTCCCGCGTGATATAGGAACCGTTCGATATAGGCAATAATTCGATATATCCATGTTCTATATATTGAGGCTTGACTGTAGTTGTCGACTGGATAGGATAAAAAAGTGAGAAACGCAACCTTTCGAACAAGACCAAAATGGCGCTGGTGGAGTGAGCAGTTCATGTGCCGCATCCCCCCTTAATAATTTAGTGATTTCGTCTTCCGGTCTGACTGGTATCCATCCTGCTGCCATGCACATGCTCGACTCCTTCCTCTTTTCTACGTGCAGATGAGATCTCGGGCATCTTTGTGAAGAGCATCGCCAAGGGGAGCGCCGCGGATGCCACCGGTTGCATTCGCGTCAACGACCAGATCATCGAAGTGGACGGCCGGCCTCTCCATGGTTACACCAACCACCAAGCCGTTGAGGTGCTCCGATCGACGGGCAAGTGCGTCAAGCTGCGACTGGCCCGGCACCTCCGCGGCGCCCGCTACGTGCAGCTGCAGCAAGCCGTCGCCCTCTCGGACGCTAGCAGCTTGCCACCGCTGCCCACCACGCCAACGCTGACACCGGGACCCGCGACGCCAGTGTCATTGCCTGGTAGCGCCCCGCTCACTCCAGAGCAGCCACCGCCACCGTTGCGGTCACCCATAGATGACGGCTTTGTCACCAGTGCCATGACGGACCTGACCTCATTTGCCTCCCCAGAAGAGGAGGATATGTTATATGGTGAGTGTTCTGCAGGGATAATTGACTAAGCAGAAAGACTCTCTTCCGCTAAAACTTTAATATTACAACCACAGATACAACGAATTATTAGTTATAGTGAAGGGTACATTCAACTCGTCGTCTTCAAGTGCTCCAGAGTACTCTAGTGACACGCGTCATGTTCTGCAGATCAAAATTGAGCGCGCCACCTCTGTTTGGCTGGTTCTTTCAAAACACCAAGCTTCAACTCTGAGCACTCTGTGGTGCTCTCACTTTGGCCTCAGAGCGCAACAGACAACTTCTGTCTGTTCGCAATAGAAGACGTAGTAACGTGTTTCCTCTTCTGTCCTCACCTCAGATTCCTCTGGCGAGCGGCTGGACATTCAGCTCAGAGAGTAGGCTGTGCGTTATTGAGTCAGAGCATGTTGGGGTCCAGTCGAATGTGCCATAAGTAAATAAAAAATGGTCTTGGCATAATACAGTAACCAATTTATGTTTTATAATGAATTTTCGGATATTACTGTTAAACATGCCTATAACGGACCTCCATACATCGAATTCTCAATATTGCGAAGTTTTTCTATTCGCCACCCTCAGTCCATAGAAGCAAATTTACACTGAAACCTCATTATAACAAAATTGTGTCTTACATTAAATTAAGTTTGTTATACCCAGAAATTCATCATAAAGGAACGTTTCTAACAATATCTGTTGAGATTATTTTTCATTTATTTTGTTATAACCATTGTTTTGTTATATCCAGGTTTGTTATATCGTAGTTCGAGTGTAATTGTGACCTCTGGGTAACGAAGGGACAGTTGGAGACACCTTTGATGTAACAAATTTATGTCGCCAACAACCGAAGCAACTTTGAATGGCAGCAGGGTTACTTTCGGTCAAATTCAAGTGATAACCTCTGTAATGTGTTATGTTTTCAAATTTACTATAGTACTGGGAGCATATAAGCTGGTGTAACAAGGTTTTAAATTTTAAAAATTATGAATTTATTCAAGTTCATTCAATCTTGGAATGGAATTTCGTGATAGTGCGGATATTTTCTGGATAGGTGTATTTACGACATAGCACTGCTTTACTGCACTGAAACCAGCTTTACAGGGGGTTACGTGCAGTTCACATATATTTGTTCGTTCATTTGGAATTATTTTAAATTTAGAATAATTTAAATTTGTGTCAAAGCGAACTCGACTGCTATAATATTCACTCAAATATTTGAAGGGCTTGAATATTTGCACAGGCCTGGATTACTGGCTTCTGCTTTATGTAGAGCGATACCGAGTGCAAGGGGTCTTGGACATCTATGCTATGTTGAAAAGTGTCTTTTTCTCATTGTACCAGATAAAAATACCTACCTAACATTTCATTCTACCTTACAGTGCACTGCAATAATATTATTACAATCTAGTGACAAAATGTTAAGTACGTGTTATATCAGGCTAATACTGAAATGTCACGTAGAAGTCACACTTTGTGTCCTACATTGACTTCCATATTTCCTTTGCTCAAGTGCTTTTGCATATACTGACATTTTTTTAGATGGTTTAAAGCATTAATTTGCCGGTCTAACTGAAGTTGTTATTGCCTTAAGCATCTCTTTATTAGCTGAAGAATAGTCTCTATATTAGTACTTTTTTGCTGCTGCTGCTAGTAGTCGTTCTCACGCTTAACAAAAGCCCACTCCTGCAAAGGTTATGACTGCTTGACGAGTTCTACGCGTGGTCGGCTTGACTAGCTGGAATATTGACATTTGACGCATTTCTGGTGCTTAGTAAATGGGAGTGCGAAAATGGGAAGACAGAAAAGACTGAAGAACGGCAGGGGCATTAGGTTTACCCTCATATCTTTTCCTAATTTTAAATGTGTGCGTCTAATTCGAATGTACATTTGTTTGCTTGCGTTTCATCTTCTGTTCTGCCTTGTTTGTCCCTGGATCAAAAGCCGGCGAGCTAGACCCGAAAACAGAGGCATCAATTGTGGCCCACTGGAGCCAGGTGGTGGGGCTGGACTTCGACATTGTGGTGAGTCTGACAGCCTTTTCTTTGTGCCAGCTTGTGTTTCTCAATGGCAATTTGAATGGGGTGTAATTGCATGTACCCTTTTTACATCTAAACCAAGCATTGTAGTTTTTCCCAGCCACTCGATCTGTTAAAAAAAAATGATATATTGGACTCGTTATGTGCCCAGAAAATAGCGAGAGCTGCTTAGTTGAACTCATTGCCACTGAGGCGCCGTAAAGCGGGTCGCAACAAAGTTGATTAGAGAACACACAAGTGTATTTGAGTTGGATGTTTTATTGGGGAATCGCACTCTCTTGTTAAAATATAATTGGTGATCAGTTCATCTACACTCCTCTGTATGTATTATTTTCTTCTGAAACAACCGTCTCTTATTTAATCATTTGTTGTGAAAACATCATTCTCAGCAGTTCGAAAATTTGGGGTCGCCGACCTGGGCATCTTTCTTTGTCGTTCAAGGTTACCATGAAAGACTACAGCTTCTCGGGACACTCATTTTTGGCAGGATACAGTGCCTGCACATGCCACAACCATCATGCCGGATTTATTTTTTGTTATAAAAGCATGTGGCTGTATGTTTACTAGCGGCAACATGGACGAAACTGTCAACACAGCGTTCTCACTTGCTCCCATGGGTTACCGAATGACGCAATGAGCAGTGCCTTTTTTTTTTTATGGAGTGATCCTGATTTTTATACCTTCAAAAAAGGCAGGTTTGCATATTGTCATGGGGGCGTGACGTCAACGAAGGGAGCAGATGGTAGATCAAAGATTACACTGTTTATTTGGGGGAACTTGTGGTCAGTCAATGAAAAGTCAGATTACAGCGGTACACACTGACACTGATAGCCGTGAACTGAGTGTTAGCCGACGATTACCGTATTTACTCGTGTAATCCTCGCACTCACATAATTATCGCACCCTCCACATCACCCAACAAAAATCAAATTTCTTTTTTTCCTCGAGTAATTATCGCACCCCCGAAAACTGCAGCAATTATGTCGTCTGCTTGTTCTAGCAACTGACAATGATAGTGCGCATCATCTGGTGCCATCTCTTAAGCATCAAGCGTACTAACAGAGATTTAATCCAATCCAAGCCAAAGTGACAAGTGCACGTTACGGCGTGTTTTATATGTTGTGTCGGTAATCTTGTCACGTTATGGGGCGATACTGAAGCTACGCGGCTGCTTTCACGTTGAAAGTGATAGATCATGCAGTAAACAATGGCAACAGGGCCGCCGGTAGGTCCTTTGAAGTCTTTGAGTTTTGTGGTCGCTACTCGTGTCGGCAGCTGAAAGCCACCAAGACGTGTTGGGGGGTGTACCTAAAACTGGGATTGATGGTAAACTTTGTTTCTTCAGAAGGAAACTGCAGACCATTCTGTTAAATAGCTATCAGCCCAATACTGACGTCCTACGCTTATCTTTTGAGGGCTCCTGTTGAGTGACGAACGCTACCGCTACGCCCGCAACGCCCACAAGCTTTGCGTATAGTATTCTAATTCTCGACTATTTGCTTGCACTTTTTGTGTCTCAAATAAATCTTGCCTTGTGTTGAACATGTGCTTTTATTGTTGAGTTAAGTTTTAATTAGTACTTCTTTAAGCTTGCTGTTAGTCGCTTGTGTGAGAATCCCGATTTGCGACCACTTCGTTTTTTTTTGTTTTTTTTCGCTCTGTACGCTTTCGTGGAAAGTTTTCCCCGCGTAATTCTTGCACCCCCCAACTTTGAATTAGTCTTCCGCAAAAAAAAAGTGCGAGGATTATGCGAGTAAATACAGTAACTGACAAGTGATGACGTGCGTCGGCATTTATACATGTGCTGCCAAATATTCCAGCGCTATCGCTAGTGGCCACACAAGTTCTAGAAGAATTTGTATGGCTCCCGTTGTGCGTGTAATTGCATCGGAAGGTTCTATGATTATCTCAAGAGTTCTTTAGTCAATGGGTGTGGTTGTGCAAGGCAGCACTTACAGGTGTAATGGGACAATTACAGAAGCTTGCAAAAGGAGCATGGCAATGTTTCAAGTTAGAAAAGATTACATGGTGTTGTGAGGGCCGGGCGGGCTAGGCATGAAGGCTGAGAGGCGTTGTGAATCGAGAAGAATGCGCTTTATTCGAACATGAAAACGTGCCGACCGCGCCGGAGGCGGGAGCGAGATTGATAAAAAACGTGACCCCCGGCCCTCGCTTGGGCTTGGAGTTTATCTGAGTAAAGGCGCCGCAGGTGGCGCTGCCGATTAGATAGGCCGCTACGCTATAGTGCGCATGCATGCGGGCGCTCACATCCGGCCCCTCCTTGTCTGACCAAGTCCCATTGGTCTAGGAAAGGAGCACTACTTGGTGGCTTCACTGCGAGAGAGAATAGTCCTTCAAGCGCTCGGGTGGGCGCTTTTGGCGGTGAGGTCGCGAGGAGGGTACCGCTGGAGGCAAAACTGCAGGGCCAAGGGAAACTGGTGGTTGAGATAACTCATTGCCAACACTGGGAGAGCCAGATAAGTCACACAAAGGCCACTCTTGGGTTTTCACAATGTAAGGCTCGACATAAGGTGGCACGTAGTGCTTGAGTTGAGAGACGTGCACTATCCTGTCTTGGAGTCGATCACGAGGACCTTGACCAGTTACGCGGCTAACGACAAACGTAACGGGTGTTTTCTGGTTGGTGATTTGGTATATTCCCTTGAATTTGGGTGCCAACTTTCCAGTTCCATCTGCTACAGGCTCTTGGCGGCGCACCCAGACGAACTGGCCGACTTGGAAGGAGTGGTCTCGATGGGACTGATCATATGCTGTCTTCCGTTTCCCTTGTGCTTCCTCGGTATTACTTGCTGCTACGGCCCGGTTCTGAGACAGCATTAGGAGACGGTCTTGTAGGGTCCTGGCTGTGGCGGGACGATGGCGTTGATATGGGAGCTTGGGGACGTATCCATACAGTAGTTCAAATGGAGAGAAACAGCTGCTGGCGCTATAGCTTGTGTTGATGGCAAAAGCAGCTTCTTCGAGTTTGCTTGCCCAGGAGGTCTGGTCCGTTGGACACAGCTTACGAAGAACGGAGACTAAAGTCCCATTGCTTCTCTCTACAAGACCATTGCTGGCTGCGCGGTATGCCACTGAATAATGAATCTCAGCACCGTGCATGTGCATGAAGTGCTTAAACTGGTGAGATTCAAAGGCTGCTCCATGGTCAGACATGCAGTCATCAGGACAACCAAAGCGGAAGAACACCGACTGTAAATGTGCTATAACTTCCTTAGCTGATGTTGAAGTTACAGCCGCTGGGACAATGAAACGCGTGGCAAAGTCAATGACATTCAAAATGTACTTCTTTCCTGAAGCAGCCGGCATTGTGATGTGATCAATGGCAATTAAGGCAAAAGGAACATCCGACACTGGCATGAGACCCATTTTGCCAACACTTTTAGATATTGGGCGGTTGTTGCTTTGGCAGATCTGGCATGCTGTGACGTAGTGGGTCACTGAAGACGTAAGGTTTGGCCACCAGTAACGTTCTCTCACTTTGGTCAGTGTCCGGGTTACATCCATGTGGCCTCCACCGTCATGAACAACCTCCAGGACAGCCTGGCGCATCTTTGCCGGCACTACAATAGCTTGAGAACCTGAAGTCGCGTCACTATGGTACAGGATGTCATCAATTATGGCAAGGTCATGGTCCCACGATTCTGAAGATGACAGAGAGCGACGAAGGTCCTGGCACTCTTTGTCTTCTGCTTGCATAGCTGCGAGAGACTGTGTCTGATGGAGGACTGCTGCAGATAATCGTGACAGCATGTCAGCAACCACGTTTTGACGGCCTGGATGGTGCTGCACAGTGAAGTCGAACTCTGTAAGATCCATCAACATGGTCGTAAAACGACGTGAAGGCCTGATGTTGGCTGTTAAGCATGCAACGGTCCAGTTGTCAGTCAACAGGCAAAATTTCTTGCCGAGCAAGTAGTGTCGGAACTTGATCGTAACCGCCCAGTGGACACCAATACACTCCCAAACGTTGCTATGCAACTTCTTCTCTGCGGCCGTGAGTGCACGACTCGCATATTCGATCACAGTTTCTTTTCCACACTGTTTCTGAGAGAGCACAGCACCAATTGCGGTTCCTGAGGCATCTGTTGTGACTGTGGTTTGGGCGTCTGGATCAAAATGACCCAGTACAGGTGCCTCTGTTAATGCTGTGCGAATTCGCTGAAAGGCTTCATTGCAGTCGCTGGTCCAGGCAAACTCCTCAGACCGTATGAGACTCTGCAACGGTGCTGCTATCCGAGAGAAATTCCTCACAAATCGGCGATAGAAGTTTGCTGTCTGGAGCCATGACAAAACTGCTTTGCTGTTTGCAGGCTGTGGGATTTTCATGATGGCTTCGACTTTGGCAGGGTCAGGCTGCTTGCCGTCCCTGCTCAAAATGAATCCGAGAAACCTGATAGACTTCAAAGCAAACTTACACTTGTCAAGTGAAACTTTGAATCCACTGGCAAGGAGTGCACCAAGTACTTCGTCGAGTAACCTTGCAAACTCGTCAAAAGTTGGCGCAAAAACCAGAACATCATCCAAGTACACCCGCACACCGCACTTTGGGCAATGGGGCTGCAGGTTAGCAAAAATTGACTGCATGGCTCGCTGGAAAGTGGCAGGTGCGTTCTTCAGCCCAAATGGCATGCGGGTCCACATAAAGGTGCCATAGTGGGTCACAAAAGCAGTTTTTGCCTGGTCTTCCTTACGAACGCGAACTTGCCAGTAAGCAAACTTTAGGTCAAGGCAGGCGAAGTACTGTGACCCAGCAATGTCATCCATGATGTCATCCGCATGTGGAAGTGGTTGCACGACGTTCACAGTCATCTTGTTTAGGGGCACATAGTTAACACAAAGGCGCTTCTTGCTACCTCGGCTGACAACCACTGCGGGGAATGCCCAAGGTCCTAAGGCTGGTAGAATGATGCCTTGCCGAAGGAGTGTGCTTATTTGAGCCTCAAGAAAACGACGGTCTGCAGCAG